CGGCCGGGGTTTCTTTCAGCAGACGCAGGCTCCCAGCTCCTGTGGGGCCTTCAATCCCCTCGCAGCCCTGTGCCCCACTTCGGGCACCGAGGGCTCTGCCTGCTGCTCGTGGCTGGGGGCTCAGGCTGCCTTCTGCAGCTCCAAGGCCCAGGTCCCTGCCTGGGACCTGCTGCGCACTGAGCATGTGCATGAGTCATGGCCACATGCCCGGAAATGGGGGACTGAGCCACCTAAACTGACAGCCGGGGTTGGGGTCCTGCCAGACTGTGCCGCGCTGCACTGCCAGCTCCAGGTTCCTGGGCTCACGCTGGGGGTTGCAGACCTGAGCTGCCTCATGCAGCTCCCAGGGTCTGAGGCTCTGTGCATTGAGTGGCTGGAGACCTGAGCTGCCGCACAGCTCCCAGTGTTGCGGCCTGTGCGCTGCCCTTCGCACCGACTGGGGCTGAAGCCATCCTCTGTTCCTGTCTGGAGAGAGGTGTCTTCAGGGGCTCTTCAGGGCAACAGCATTCACCTACTGGGCTGCTCTTCCTCAGCTTTCTTTTCCGTCCCTCGGCACATCTGCTGTGTGCTGGGCACGCTGCTCCCCTTATACTCTCTGGAGGCTCTGCCCCCAGAGTGCGGTCAGACCTGCAAGACACAGGCTTCAATCAGGTCCGGGGCTCTTCTCCCCTCCTCTCCCGCTCCGGGCAGGGGTGGGGCTAGCCCCTCAGCAATTACCTGATTGGTAGACATGCTCCATCAATCGCAATGAAGCTTCTCCGAGCCGGGTTATGCCGGGCTGTATCAGTAAGTCTGCCACATATGAACAACACTTTGGGGAATAATATGAGTTGTGAGGGGTCAGGTTTTATAGTAATTCACACTGTGGTGGGAGGACTCTTGCATTAGGGTGTTTTTAACTAGAAAGTTGCATGAAAGTAGTGTATTATCTTGAGCGGTTGTGTTAATCAACCCTGTATTGACCAATGTTTTGCATTCTGGGTCATATACAGTTCAACATTGTTGTATATGAATCTTGTAGGGCTAAAAGCAAGGCTTTGTAATGCTAAAAGTGAGGCCATTTCTTCGTTCTTTCGCCTCTTCCATAAAAGCGGACACAGCACTTACGAGACGGCTGGGAGGGAAGAGGGGTACTGGTACTGTGTGAGGGTTACTGATAAGATATGAAGCCAGCTGAATCCAGTCAACCAGGGAGTCTCGTCAACAGGGAAACCTTGAAAGTCAGGCATGGATTGTGTTTATAAGATAAAGAAACATCTTGAGACAAAATATATGAGGCATATAATTCACAAGAGTTAAACTTCGGTGTTCACGCTCACAGTGCCGCTTGATTGGATAGAATAGTGATTTAGTTAATAGATGATTGTGTATTTTTATGAGCACGAGCTAATCATGAACTAACGCTGTGGCCTTGAAAAGTATAAAAAAGTATGATAACTAGTAGGCGGGGTCCGTCTCCCAAAGAGGCACCTCGCTCGAGCGAATAAAGATTCTGTATTTGATTTTGGATACTTGCTCTGCGTGATCATTGCCCCAGCCTAGAGCGAACTGCACGTGGCTTTAAGAGTGTAATTTGTAATAACATCATGCCATCAGATCTGTGCATAAGTCATTATAAGACCACAGTTTATCCACAGTTAGATGAAATGATGTCAGTCACAGATTGTCCCAGTCAATACTATTTACAAGGGCTTGGTTGACATCTTGTCACTTTGCTGAACTCGTTTGGGTATTATTAAAACTTGGCTTCGTTAGCAAGATTACATCAAGTACCTAGCAATGAATAAATGATTGCTTATTGCTTTACCCTTTGATAGGTCATTGTCTTCACAGTTTTGGCTTTGTTCAGATATGTCCAAAATATTTAAGGACAAATTATGTTCTGAATTCACAGCAAGTCCAGAGGCCTCTTAGGAGTTCCTTTTGGTGAGATGGGTGCTAGCCATCTTTGGGCTCAAGCAAAGCAACCTGAGTCCCATATCACCTGCAAGTTCTGGAGCTTGGTAGTTGAGCCTATTTAAGTGTCCTTACCTCGTGAAGGGATTGTCAAGGGGTTGGAGACAATTTATAACTGCCCCAGCACTGAGGAGCAGTAGTGTAACTGGGGGTGGGCAAACAGGACATCAGTCCCTGATGCCACATCAGGATGGGCACAAGAATGGCAGCAGCAGCAGCAACTGCTAGCTTAGCCACCACTGTACCCCAGGGAGCAGAAATTGCTTGTTACAGCTTCTCCCGAGGAGAATTCCTATGCCTGCAGTCTGGGCCCCTAGAAAGCAACATTAACACACACATCTTGGGGTTGGGAATCTCTGAGGGACCTAAGGCTGCTCTGCAAGGAGCTGTGGTGTTTGTCGCTGTTCATCTCATCTGACCTCACTTGCCTGTGACTTCCCTTCTGCTCTCTTTGGCCTGTTCAACCTGTAGGCCCAATGGGGAATTATCTGCTTCTGTGTTTGTACCATGCTTAGCGCAATGGGTTCCACATCTCATTTGTGGCCTCTGGGCAATCCTGGAATTATTTTCCTTGTTTGGATTTCATTAAAATCAAGTGAAGTTTAGCCATTAGCTTTCAGTGGGTGCATCTACTTGAGAGACTTACTGTGCATTAGCTTAATAACACTGCTCAGTAGTATGTCATAGCAAAAGTATGTGAATAGCCTATTGTGCAGTATTATTAGGCTAATGTGCAGTAGTAAGTGTCACTAAATAACTGTGTGCTGGCACTACTGTGCAGTAGCTCTAGGTACTGCGCATTTAGTTAGTACTTTATTAAAGAAGTACTAAACTAAATGCGTAGTATCTAAGACGCATTAATGAATGTGTAGATGCAGCCGTAAGGAGCAAAGTCAGGCCTTTAATGCAGAGTTCCCCATTTGTTTTACTTTGCGAGAACTGTGCAAAGATTGAACAGACCACAGTACCTTAATTTGCTACCCACCATTGAACTTTTTTTTTGTTTTAGAAGCTTTGGATGCAGATTATGCAAAATTACAATTTTTTCACTTGGATTGAAAGCCTGGGAGAGCTGAATGCTTATTACACAGGTGGTTCATACAAGCCCAGGTGCTTAAGTAATCACATGGAGCTGGCTGCCAAACATACAGGCTCTTCTCTAGAGGAGGGTTGAGTTTCATGTGCACAAGGAGAAAGGCCAGCAGCTGCCAAATATGCATAGCATGGGAAAGGGAGAGATATGATGAATGTAAAAAGTCCTGCATGCTTAATTGGTGAGAAACGGACAAAAATAAGCTTGGCTTCCTGCATGGAGTATTTGATAGTGGCCTGTTGACCTTTTAAACACTCCCCTAGGTCTGCTTCCATGCCAGCCTATGGTGGGATGGCTGTAGGAGCTGTGTGGCTTCTGTTGTGTGGGTGATTGCAAATGCGGTTGCAAATGGAGCTTTAATTTCTTTTCAGGTTTTAAAATGTATTTTAATAGATCCTGCTTCTGTTTTTCCAGTGAGTCCATGTGAGTCAATGGAGAGCCTGTGAGACTGACCAAACTGGCATACTGAAGGCCTCTGTTCCCAAAACCGCTGTCACCTGGGGAGCAACATGGCACCATAACTGTACTTCAGTTAGCTGGATCATGGATTTCAATTCAAGTCTTGGCTTCCTTCAGGGAAACAAAGGTGCCTTTTTGTGCATGTGGTGGTGGGTGGGGAAGGGGCCACTGGGAACAAAATAGAGACTATCAAACTCATCTTGTGCAGGCTGCTTTGCAACAGCAGCAACTTGGCAGGGATTGGAATTGGTAATTTGAAGGCAAGAGGTTCCATATTATCAAATTTCTGATCCACCCATTTATCCTTAAAATAGATTATCTCCTTAAATCCCCATCCTTGGCACAGAAGCAACTAAACTGCATGCTGTTCAGAGGGTCAGGCAAAGGTGTGGTGGGAGGGAACACAAAGGGGCACTATCTCAACACTGGTCTTCAAAAGTAATCCATCTCTGAAGTGGACACAGTGCCCTCACTGCACTTAGAGCTGGCTCTGTAGAGGTGGTTTGTACCCTGCTTTTCTGAGAGCTCATTAGCTGCCACTCAGGAACTGGCTTTGCTGCTACGTGTTTTCCCATGGTGGACAAATGAGAATTGGTTCCTTGTTTTCTTTATAAGCATCCCTCAAGTCTTTGTGCCTAATCATGTTCCCTTTCACTCTTGTTTTCCTCAAATGGAATCCAGTAAAACACAAACTAGATGAAAAAGTAGCTCTTTTGAATTTGCCTTTCATCATACTATACGCAGTGGTCTTGTAACTTTAAATTTTAAAAACACTCCCTTTCCAGCTAAAAATCCATTTGGTTACATTCTTCTTTCCCTAATGATTACAGTCACTGGCAATAATTTGTGATAAATGATTTGAGCAGCCCTGGGATTTGGAGTGTTTGGCTAGTTCTGGAGCTTCTAACGGGTGAACAGGCCCATTTGGCAAGGCGTATTAAAAAAAACCCACACAAAACAAAGTATGGTTTCTTTATTTTATTTTTCCCTATTTAGTAGGGCTGTGGGAAGCTTCGGGTGGTGATTTGATTAGGAGGAGATTTGGCTCGATTCGGTGGCTGAATCTCTGAATCCAAATTGAATTAGGGGACCAATTAAAAGGTCCGAATCGGTTCGAAGCTCTCTGAATCTTCGGAAAAGATTTGGAGAGCTTTGGTGATTCGGGCAGTCCCTGCTGGCTGCAGCAGGGAGCTGCAGTTGGACTCGGAGCTGGTAAGCAGGGGGCGGGTGAGGAGGGGCTGAAGGAAGGGGGAAGGAACCATGGGGGGACCCCTGCCAGGCCCCATCCCCCACCCACTCCCCCAGACCCCCACGGCTGCCCTGCCTGCCCCAGCTCAGCAGGTGCTGCTGGGCAGGGGGCGATTTACCGCTGCCCACAACTGCCCCATGCTGTGTGGGGGGCTCTGCACGATTCCCGCCCCCGCCGTGACTGCCCTGCCCGCCCCAGCTCTGGCCCGTTAAGAAGAAAAACACTGAACACCCTTCCCCTGCCCAGACTCACCAGCTTCTGCAGGGGCCTCGGGGCTTTGGGGGGCTTGTGGAAGAGCCCCCAGTGTGTTGCAGGTAAGTGGGGGGCAGCAGAGATTGCCCCCCACCAGGCAGCATCCGGTGAGTGGAGTTTTTTTATTTATTTATTTTTCCTTAAAGGGCCAGAGCTGGGGCAGGCGGGGCAGCCATGGTGGGTCTGGAAGAGCAGGGAGGGTTGGGGGAATTGTGGCAGAGCTCCCCATGCAGTGTGGGGCAGTGGGAATCACCCCCCCACCTGGCAGCATCCTCTGAGTTGGGGCTTTTTGTTTCCCAAGTGCCGGGGGCAGGGGTGGGTGGGGCAGCCATTGCCAGGCGGAGGATGGCTCTGGGTGATTTGGAGATTCAGCAACAGCCAAATCTTTGAATCAGATTTGGCCAGATCAATTCAGCACAGTGATTCGAATCACTGAATCAAATTTCTGTCCCCCGAATTGGCCGAATCTGAAGCGAATACTAGCCGCTTCGCACAGGCCTGCTATTTAGCTCCAAGCTGAGTCAGCAGAAACTACCTGGGTCTTCAAACTAGAGCTGTAAGTAGGTTTTAATTGGCATATAAAACACCAATGTTAAGCAGAGACAAATCATAAAGGATGAAATCAATTCCCAAGCAAATGCTTAAGTTGCCAAAGAGCAGTGGACAGGTCTGGAGAGTCCAAAGAATCTTCAAGGCTGGCAAAACCAGGACCGTACTGTGTTACAGCCAAATCCTGTGAAGGGCAATCACTTTGCCTGGAAGTTTCCACATTTTTTATATGCTGGGGTTCATTCATTAGTCTCGTCTGTGACAGCATTTGTTTTTATATGAAGTTCATCTCTGGCCATTTCCATTATTGTTTCCAGAGCCAAAAATGTTTTCACTGGCCCAAGTGACTTGGTGGAAACTAAAGAAGAGGACAGAAGTGAAATTCATGTAAAAAGAAATACTGTCTTGAGGATCTGTGGGCTCATGGGTCACATGCCAGCTCATATAAACATCTGAGTTCCTGGTGCTTCTACAAATATGAGAGGTTCCCTGGTCTGTTTGTGAACAATCACCCAATTGATGCAGATTTTGATTATATGTACAGCAGAGCACAGACTACTCACCACCTTCTGTCCATGCATTATTTAGGATGAGAGATCAGGTTGGACCTTAGGCGACCATAATCATGATTATTAAAAATAATGTAATGACCAATTGCACAGTCCAGGGGTGGGATGTTGTCTAGAGAGATACAGAATTACAAGCAATGAGCCCCACAGAAAGGGAACACAGAAAGCACTGCTGTGCCATTCCTTGCTTTTCCACCCTTGTAGCAGGAGTGGGATGTGGCAAGGGGCCACATGTCCATTTACTGTTAAGTCTGTATCTTTTCCAGTGCTCCCTTTCTTTGCCCATGTTCACTTGAGAGAAAGGGAATGTGGGGCTTTTGTCTGCTCAGTGCTGCTTAGCCTTACTGATGTGTACCTGTAGGCTTTTCAGGCTGTTTCACTGATATGCACAGCTATTACCCCATGTAAGGAACTTCAGGATCATTGCTTTAGCAAGGAGTCCTGGTTGTTTGGTGTGGCTAAACTGGGATGACCAGCCAAAGGGGTGCAGCTGCGAAAGGAGAGTTGGGATGTAGCCTCGCTCTGGGCCCATCTACATGTGCATTTATGTCGCATTAAATTTACTTTTAGCAGGAATAGTCTGACATCTACATGTGCAGATGACTTGGGACTAGATTTAGTCCCATCAGAGCAGCCTGCCATGTGCCCCTGTGGCCCCTGGGGGGAGCTCTAGCCTCTGTTCACATGCTGAGGCCAGAGGCAGCTGCCAGCAGTTGGCAGCCATCTTAAAATCACACCCCTGCTCTCTGATCCCAGCCACCTCCCCTTCCCAGGAGCTGTGCGCCAAGCATAGGAGCAGCGCGCTGCAGCTCCCTCCCTGCACCACAGCTGCTCCAGCTCCAGTCCCTGCCCCTGCCAGCAGTGCTCATTGTCCCACTGCTCCAGCCTGGCCCTGTCAGCAATGACCAGAGCCCTGCGCTGCTGCTGGCCATGGTGCTGGCCATGCTGGCTCCACTAGGCCCCCCTGCCCAGGCCCCAGGACAGCCACGCACCCACCAGCCGGGCCCAAGGCACTGACTGCAGGAGGCTCTGCAGACCCCTTCCTCCTGCACTCCCCAGGCCAGCCTGCCTGCCCTGCCATCCACACCCCACAACTCCTTGCCCACCCCCAGCACCACTCCAGGGCACAGATCTAGGAGAAACCATGCAAGCTTTATTAAGAAAACAAAACCCCCCATCCCTCCTCCCTCCCCCCTCAGTGAACACAGACCCCTTTCCCCTCCCCCCACATGCAGTGCTTCTCCATCATGCTTCCCACCAACCAAAAATAAAAACCCCATTCCCCAAATTTGAAAGACACAGCAGGTGTCTGACCCCACCCCTTAGTCCACCTGCAAGGGGCTGAAAAGTGGGGCCACCCAGAGTGGAGAGCCCAGCAGCAGGCAGTCACCACCTGAACTGCAGACAGTTCCCCCATGGGTCTGGGGGCTGCGGTGAAGCGAGGGGATGCCTATGGCCAGCAGGTGCTGCAGGACCTGCTCCAGGGTGCTGCCGAGGGCCTGCTGTTGGGTGGTATCCAGGGGCCAGGGTGGGGGGCAGGTCTGTGGGGCATGGCACAGCTTCCCCTGGGTGGTGAGCTGCTGTTCCACCAGCTCTATATGCTGCCACTCCAGGGCCATGAGCTCGGCTCAGTGGTCATGGCATACCTGTAGCTGCACCTCCTCCTGGGTGAGGTTCCTCCACCCGCTGGTCCACCGCCCAGACCTCCACTGTGACTGCCAGCTGCTGGAGTTGGGTGGGTCCGATCCTGGCTGTGCCTCCAGGTGGCTCCAGCGGCAGGTGGCAGTGGTCGTGCAGGTGCCTGTGGCTTCTTCCCCATGTGCATATGTTGGCACTGCAGAGGCAAGAGACAGAAGGCTTTTGTGAGCATTTGCAACATTTGAGAGCTAAGTTGATATGCTGCAGGGGCCCTGCATGGTGTGGCCTCAGATTGGAGGTGAGCCATGTGTGGGTGCCCAGGGACCATGGTAAGCTGCTCAGGCAGGCCTGGGCCCAGGTTGGTGCTGCCTGAGCCCCTGCCCCCACTTGCTCCCTGGAGGCTGGCTGCAAACCACCTGCCCCCCCTACCCCCTTCTCAGGGTGGCCTAGGACAGGCTGCTGGCCCTCCACCACACTGCCACTGTGCCCTGAGTGTGCCCCTGCTGCATGTGCTGCAGGAGGTGCACAATAGGCTGTTTGTGCAGGCAGAGGGCTGCCTGAGCCACTACTCCTGCTTCTGCTGATCCTTCTGATGCCTCAAGCACACCTGCACTCCTGGACTGACACCCTGAGCTACAACAGTGTCGGGGGCAAGCCCAGCCTGTTCTGTGACTGCCGTTGCCACCTGGAGGGGTATCTGTTGCAGTGCTACACACTCCTACCCCTGGCTGCCAAGGAGGAGTTTACCGCCAGGATCAATGCCTTCCTTGGCATGAGAGAGGCCCGTGCCCACTCAGTTGTGGGGATTCAGGCTGCTTAATAAAGTTCTGACTTGTGTCCCACCTCTCTGCATGCTGTGAGAAGGAACAT